TTGTGAAAGAGATGAGAGGAGTTAAAGATGCATATAAATAGCCATCAAGAGGAAGAAAATCTTGAATTTCCCTCCAAAAGAATTTAGAAAAATGGCACATTCAAATCGACATATGGCATTTTAAACATTGAGAAAATAAATCTAAATTGATTCTCTTAATTTCATTTAATTTAGCGAATCTTTAATATACTAGGAAATCAGAGGTAATGTTTATCAACTGCACGTACGTCTGTGACGTGATAGTTTGTTAGAAAGTAGTCATGATGACTAAAAAGACGTATAAATGATGTGACATGTACAGGTTATTCTAAACAGTGTTGAACAGTTATAAAAAAATGTTACTTTTCTTCCATTTGATACATATCATAGAAAGTGGCATTTTTTGGAGGCATCTGTTAGCTTGAAAATTCTAGATGAAGAAAATTCAACAAAGTATGTTAATAGCTACATTGAAATGCTAAGTGTCAGAGAGTTTCGACTAAAAAGCTTTGACATATTAACCACGCCGACTAAAGTAGTTCTACTAGCATGGTAAGCATGATTTGGAAGAATATCAAAAACAAATCCATGAGATTATGATCACTCTCTCTTCTAAACATGTCAAAAATCTCAAAAAAGGTTTTCGACAAAATGGTTGGACTTGACGAGGTCACCAGTTATCTAGGACTTAGTATATTTTCTAAGTCTAAGAGTTAATTAAGCGAAGGGATGTTTCGACAAGCCTTTTAAAAGTGAACCAGATATTCTTGAAGGTAGTTTAGAGGTTCGAGGCAGTTATCAACGTAGTTATCAGCATGGTACTTGGTTTTTCAACCGTTATATCCTTGAAGACGAGTGGAAACAAGTTAGAGCATGAAGGCCTAAGTAGTGATATATGTATCAAATTTACAGGATTGAACCAGTGTCCGTCGTAGTAGTATACAACATAGGCTTATGCATTATAGTCGGGATCGCAAACTTCTCACTAATTCTCTATAGAACTAAAGTATCCAAGTTACAAAACAAAACGGTTTATGAGAAATGGTATGCATGCATTCTTTAAAATGTCTCCAATGTTTTTGTATTCAGAGCACTTAACAATAAATGTCATTTACTTTATTTATTTTGTTTCTCGTCTATTATCTTTATCTAAAGTTTATTGTTTGTGTCAAGATGTTTATTATTCAGACACTCTAAATCCAAAACACACACTTTTTTCTCTATCTTTTCTTTGCATAATATGTCTCCGAGATTTTTCGAGTTAATCTCTTAAGTGAACTAAACTCGTGATTGTTTACTAAAAACACTAGTAAACAAATCAGTATTATCTAATAGTTTTCTCTTGATGTATTTTGTGCCATGTGGCCACAAATGTGTCAGTAGCTTTGTTTCAAAATCAAGATCTATTTTCAAATTTGTAAATCACAGTGTTTTTCTCGTTCTCGTGATGTTATGACTTGGTTTAATGCTCTGGTGGCGATTTGTGATATATGGCTCGGGTCGTGATTGTTGTTGGATTATCCCAGACATGTGATCTAAATTTGAATCCATATCTTTTTGGGTTTGATCAACTTACTTCAGTATCGCCTTTCTAGTTTGTTGTAATATGCAAGTTTAAAATTTTTTGTTGTGCGCCCGCTGTGTTGAGGAATTTGATAATGGTCTTATATACGCTCAATCCTTCATGATTGAATTTGAACTGATTAACTAGAAATGGTCTTGATTTTTTTTATTATTAGTGTATGAATTTCTTATTATATTGTTAGTTAAATTCACTCATCATTTTAAAATATTTGAGTCTAGTGTACGTCTGTTGACACACCTCATTTTTTGCAATTCAGTTTTATATTTATACGCAAGTTTGCTAAATTTGTGATTACTTTTCCTTTTAGGCCTTTTAAGATTGTTTTGAATCACTACTTTAAATTATTTATTTTTTTATACTCTAGAGGAGAGTTTGTGATTCCTTTGCCTTTTAAAGATTGTTTTGGTATCACTCTCCCAATTTTATTTAATCTAAGAAGATGAGTGTCATGATCCTTTTTTAACACTCTCAATTTTTATTTCTATTAATCTAAAAAATGAAATATTAGAAATTTCATCTTACACACATTTTTTTTATTGGATGAAACACATATGATCTTTCACTTTAAAAATAGATCTCAGGTAATAAATTAAATCCAATAAAAGAATGAGTATAAAAAAATGTGTTGAAATGAGAGTTTTCCTAACGTTTCTAATTAGTTTTCCTAACCTTTCTAATTAGTGTGATGTTCATCCCTTGCGTCCTCTATGCTTAAAAAATGGAATATAGGGGATGGCATGAATCTCAAGCCATATAAAATTGGACTTTTTGAGGTTTTTAAGAGGTTGTTTGGGAGTCTTTTTAAAGGATTTTAGAGAAAAATATCTTGGAGTCGTGCGTTTGATATTTTTTTTTAAATTTAAAAAATAATATGAAAAAATAATATGATTTTATATGTTAACGTAATATATTATTTTTTAAACTTTTTAAAAATATCAACCGCTACCCTATAACACTTCTGTAATGAGTTTGATATAATTTGCACCAGATTTTTTATTTCAACAAATTTTAGATAGATTTTTGGCGTTTTCCTTTCTCCGTTAACTCTTTTTTCCATAATGTTGCGCGAGATAACATGGCACGCACCATTTTACGTAACACTTCAGACTTACATATACTTTTTCTGTTTTTGGTACAAGATTTTATAGCATGAAGAAAATCTTAAATAAGCAAATCAGCATATAAACTTTTATTCTCCTAGCATGTCACTACTAGTAAATGCAACCTCATACACTTCTTAATAAAGCAAATCTGCATCAATCCTAAATGCCACTCACCAATTCAAGAAAAATAGACTCAACATTTAAAGATCACTACAACACACGATTTTCTCAATTAACACATGCTTATAAATAAAAATAAACAAGCATTTAGGAAACAAACACATGATCTATCCAAGACTGGAATTTCAATCTAGTTTAAACAGCACAAAAGACTGGAATTTCAATCTAGTTTAAATTGCACAAGAAACCTGAAGAAACTAGCACACAGGGATGATACCTTGGACAAGGACAGGTTAACCTTGCTTGGCCATTCTACAAATTTCATAGTCCATTTTTTTTCTTACAAACTTCCTATTACAAAACTATACATGCATGCAATGCTATTCTTACAGGGATGACTTGAATTACACAACATCACAATCACACAGATCTGATGAGTAGCATGCGTGTAAGCAAAGATGATGAGAACTGCTCAACAGTGGAATCTAACTTGTGTATGATGCAAATCTTACTTCACTTGTGCACCAAAGAACTAGCCATGGTAACAAGTAAAAAGACTGTCTAACTAGTCAGTACTCAAACAAAAAATAGTAACCTCACTATATATATGACACTTCTACTTTTCTTCCATTCATGGGCATGCAAAGGAACAGTTTTGATAGTAATGGGTTTAACACTTAAGAAACATATGACCCGAATATCATTCTATCTATGGACTTACAAATGGAAAAAATTAAAAAGGGAAATCTGATGCAATATGGTTTCTGTCATGGCAGGGTTCCCACAGAAATGTGCAACAAAACAGGTCACAAATTAACATTCCATGCCCCATTGTTAATCACTTATCATTCAATGCAACAAGCAGTAAGTGGAAAAATAAATATGGGGAAAACATGAGTCAGACTCGGGCTAAATATTTTACACACTGTCATACCTTCTAAATGCAGTGCATAAATTCGATTCTTTTCTTTGCCAAATGATAAAATAAATACCTTAGCAGAACAAACCAAGTAATAACTATAATGACCAGCTTTCAACAGCATATAGGATTTAAAATTAAGACACATACTAACTATTATGTTCTGCCCAAAATATGTCGATAAGAAATAAGTTATAACTGCAAGTAAAACTTCAGCAGAAGCCTAATATGGTGATTAGAGTCCCAGAAAAATATAAATATATGAGGGGCTGCAGGTCATTGCATGTTAACATCAGTTAGATAGAAAATCAAATCATTGGACACATAAGAGGCAATTAGAATTCAAACCAAAATAACAGTTTATGAGATTTTTAACATAATTGTTTTTATCGGTGTAATGTGTTAAGGTACTAATCAAGCTATACGTAATAATCCATAATCTGATTGAAAAAACATGTGCGTGAGCTTTCTTCAACACATAAACACTAAATATGCTCCCAAAAAAATAACTAGAAAGATTCTGTTTGAAACTATAACTCAGAAGTGGTGGATATATCTTGAATGAAATCTAACCTATATATTGGCACAGATAATTAATGCGTTTTCTTTTCTCATTTGCCAACTTGCCATATTTTAAGCATATATCTCCTTTACTCAGGAGTTCAGATAGCTGGAGGTGAAAGTGATGGCAGCATGAAGAGCCTATATCCTTTCTACTTTATTCTGATTATATCTTTAAGGAATATTCATAAGCATATTACCCTATAAGGAACCTCGTGATTGAAAATTGAAAATAACAGAAAATCAAAAGCATATAATATAGAATCTATAACTGAAAAGGACATTCTTGAGCAGAATCAATGAATGAGAAACCAATCAAAGCAATAAATCTAAGATGAGAATAGAATTTAACAAAATGGAGAATAAAGGCATTGAGTTAAAAACCACAAAAGCAAAACAATTTCTAGTATTCTGATCTTAGCCTCAAAATACAACTTTCTTTAACCTTGACGGTGTTTGAAAAAGGTACCTATCTCCAAAGCAATGATGGATAGAATATACATGTTAAAGAAGTTAAAGAAAAAACTAACCAACATACAACCCTAAAACTTGTTTTTCACCACTGGACCCACCCGACTTCTACACCTAATCAGAAATTCTTGAACTAAATCTTTGAACTAAATCTTTTTCTTGATAACAGCTGCAAATTCAGATAAAAGGGTCCATCGGAGAGAAACTCTGACTCTGACTCTGGTTGTGCAAAAACTAGCAACAACCACTATGTTTCACACAATCATTTTTGTACTGTAACAGACTTAGACTTATCTATTTCATCAGTTAAAACCACAGCATTGCCCTTGTCACCATCAGCAACAACCTCATTCTCTTTCACATTTGTATCATCAACATCCTTCTTGTGTATCAAATCGCAGAAAAAATCAGTTAAAACTTTCTCATAACCCGGCATTTTAGCATAACCAGGAAAGTAATTGATATCAATAATAAGATACCTATTTCCATATCTAGAATCACGAATCACATCGAAGTTGAACAGATTCAGCTTCATAGCCTTCCTCAACCCACTAGCAATATCAACAATAAAAGCCTGTGGTGGCATCTCAGTAGTATCATCCAAACTCATCATCTGATAAAACTTCTCATCATCATTCACACTATCCCGGTTCGCCAGATTCGAAATCTGCGAAAAGGACAACAAATCTTCCGAGACCCCCAAAACCTTCTCCTCTGAAACATCAGGCAGAGACTTCCTCTTCACACAACGAACCCTCTCACCAACAACATACACTTTGAAAATCACCCCACCGTGATTAACAAACTCCTGCAAAACAATCGGAGGCTTCAGCTTATTCAGCGCGCCGTGGCTAAAAACCAAAGCCATTTTATGCGATTTCGCACTACCGTCAGCCACAAGCGGTTTCGCTATCACCGGAAACTTCAAACTCTCCCACGCCTGTCCGTCAGAGAGAGTTTCTTTATCGTAAATCACAATCTGCTTTGGGATCCCGAACGTCTCGGTTCGGTCGTCAACCCTAAGCTCGGAAACAACCTGAAGCATTGAGATTCTGTTGTGGAGCCTCTCAATCGCTTCGGGAGCGTCAAGAATCACCGCATTAGGGTTTCTTGATTGAAAATCTTGAAGCTGGCGTTTCCAGTCGTCGCCGTAGAGTTTGTGGAGGATGCAATCGAAGGGACCTTGATCTACTAGAGGACGGTCAGAGACGACTCGGACGAGTTCGATTCCGCGGGATTTGGCGAGCGTTAGGAGTGAGTCGCGGATGAAGCTGTTCTGTTTCTTGGGCGCTAACGCGTAACCGATGGTGCCGGATTTCTTGTCAGCCATTGGAGTGAAAGATTGGAGGTTAATCTTTTGTGGTTGTTGGGTGAAGGAATCGCATTACCTTGAAGAAACCCTAATTTGGTATCAATGGAGAATTAGGGAAAACAAGAAGATGGAGCGAGAGAGAAAGAGAGAGAAAGAGAGAGAAAGTAGTTAGAGGGTGTTGATATATATAGGTTAGAGTGCTAGGGTTAGAGAATGATAAGATGAGGGGTGAGTGAGTACACGTGGTAAGTGGTAAGTTGGGTTGAGGGTTAGCGCCGCTTTATGAAGCGCGTGTTGAAACATGGGGCGGGATAGGCTCGTGAGGAAGGTTATAGTATAGTAGTAGTACTCTTATCTTTAATATAAGAAAAATGATTAAATATATAAGTGTTCATTATAAATATGTCAATTTTCAACTTTAATTTCTCTAAAAAGAATTTTAAATAATAGTTTTTGTAATTTTTTTCTTCTATAATTTTGGTTTATGCCATCAATTTTTATTAACTCAAGTTAATATTGTACATCATTAATTTTTTTCTGGGCCTTTAAACTAATTCAAAAAAAAAACAAAAAATATTAATTCTTAACTCTTATCGAATACAGATTTGGCAACAACGATTTATAAAAGAAAATTATTGAGATTTTCATGTTGTGTAGTCTTTTATGCGTTTAAAAGAGGTTTAAAACCCTCGCAATTTTAAATGTTTTAGATTTTTGTCAAGCTATCTTTCACATGGCGTGCGACGTCAGTCTCCGTTAATAAAAATTGACGGTAGAAACTAAAATTGTGAATTAAAAAATATTATAAAGACTATTATTCGGAAAAAAATTAAATAAATCAAAATTAAAAAATCACTTTTTTTTTGGAAAGAAACAACTTTATTGAATGATTTGAGACTGCCTGATGAATGATCTGCATACATCATTCACCTTTTTAATGATAGTCATGGGGAGCGGGACACTTTAGATCCAGTAGTTCGTCATGGCGAAAATCACGCTTTTGACAAGCTGAACCCGCCCAGCAAAACTAAGGAGCTTAGAGCTCCAATGTCTAACACGAGCCACCATCATATCCACAAGGATATGACATTGATGAACCGTGAGTCTCTCGACAGAGGTATGCCAAGATACATAAATGGGAGAGAGCCTTTTTGAAAACTAGACAGATGCAAAATTTTCGTTCTAGTGCCACTACCTATGTTGCCAAAGAAGATTTTTCACTTTAGGAGATTGGAAGCCAAACCTGTGGAATTAGAGAAATTCCTGAATGTTGTCATAAGGAGCTAAACTGAAACCACATCACCCCTCGCAAAAAGAAGAAGGTCATCCGCAAATGCAAGGTTAATGATACCCACCTTCTCGCATTTAGCATGGAAGTTGAAATTATGGTTCCCATGAAGCTTCTGTAAAACTTTATGGAGATAATCCATCACCAATACAAAGAGCAGCGAAGAGAGAGGGTCTCCTTGCTGGATCCCCCTTTTGGCCACCAGAAATTCCGCAAGCTCGTCGTTAACTTTGTACTTATACGAAACTGTGTTGATAGTCACCATCACCCATTTAATGAATTTATGAGGGAAGTTCATTTCTCTAAGGATCGTTTCAAGGGCACACCATTCCACTAAATCATACGCTTTTGAAGGTCTATTTAAATCATAACTCTGGGGGGGGGGGGGGCACTACAACTACTGTAACCTTTAATTAATTCTGAAGCTAGTAAGATATTGTCTTGGATGTTATTACCCAGAACAAACGCAACTTGGCTTTGATGGACTACCTGACTGATAACTCTGCCAAGCCTGGTGGTCATCACTTTAGATATAACTTTGTAGATAATAGTACAACATGAAATAGGCATGTAGTCACTAACCATAATAGCATTATTGTTCTTAGGGATAAGGGTCACGATGGTACTGTTAATATCTTTGTACATTTTCCCTTTCTCAAAAAATTCTCTCACAACATTACAGAAATCTACCTTAATGACACTCCAAGCTGATTTAAAGAATTTAGCACTGAATCCATCTCCTTCTGGTGCAGAGATGTCCCTGATGCTCTTAAGGCCAGTAAGAATCTCCTCATTAGATATAGGCGCGATTAAGGAATCACCTTGATCCCTATTTAATTTCTTACCACTTCTCATAGCCTCCACATAAATTCCCATCATGTAAGGATTCGATGAACCAACCAACTCACCATAGAAATTAACCACTTCCTCCTTTAGCTCATTTTGGCCAGAAGTTTGGGAACCATTATCCCTCCTCAGACTCAGGATCTGAGACTGCCTGATTTTATCTTTGAGTGTAGCATGGAAGTAACCATTGTTACCATCACCAAGCCTAATCCAATCCACTTAGCACGCTGCATAAGCATATGCTCTTCCAGGTTATTAAGGTACACCAACTATTCAATATTGATTCTAACCTGCTCGATTATAGTAGAATTCATATCCAATCTCAGCAGGTCTTGAGACTCAAATAACTTGCGTCTAGCTTTGTGGACTTGTTCTTGAATGCCCCTAAAATAATTGATAAGCTCCTTAATAACAGGTTGAAGTCTTTGCAACTTTCTCCAGAGGATATACATGTTGCCCCCCAGAAGAAGAATCTCTCAATTAGCCTTGATTCTCTCCAAATAACCCTCATTCTCAGTCAAAATGTTCAGAAATTTAAACTGATGGTGCTTGGTCTGGGGCAGAACAGGATCTTTAAGCCAAAGCATAGCATGATCTGAAGTACCTGGTTCCATTATAAGCAGGGAAAACTTCAAATGAAACTGGTGCCAGCTAACATTACCAATGAGCCTATCAATCCTAGAAAAAATTATGCCACAAGATTGCTTATTGGACCATGTATAATGATTACCCTGGCTGTCCTTTTCAAACAAATTCAGAGTATCCATCATGTTAACCAAATCCTCATATTCAGACTCCAAGACAGGTTTGCCACCAATTCTGTCATTGACCCTCAAAACATTGTTGAAGTCACCTATAATACACCAAGGCTCGTCATTCAATGATTTAAGATTAGCAATGTCTCTCCATAAGACCCTCATTTCCTTAAGAGTATTCCAAGCATAAATCCTTGTGCACCAGAAAATCAGTTCCCCTGCTAGATTGTGAATTCCCAATCAATTGATCAGAGCTCCTATGATGGACAATCTAGATTTTGTTGGTGTTATACATCAACCAAATTCTCCCATTTGTGTGATGTTGGTAGTTGTCAATCCAAGTCCATTGGCTACCAAATTTATTCCTGATAGAATCTACTTTTTTGAACTTAACTCTAGTCTCAGCTAACAAAGCTAACTCTGGGTGTAGACTGTTGAGGCGGGCACATACCTCTCTATATTTTCCAGCATTATTGATGCCCCTGACATTCCAAGATACCATCATGGTGGGGGTTCCCTGCACTCTCCAGATCCATTCTATAATCTAAGAGTGTCAAACCCATTCCCACGCGCAACTTCAATAACCCTATGGGAGCTTTGTGATTGAGATATTCCCTTTTTCCCCATTGATGTAACTTCAATCCAGGGGACTGAAGGTTCAAGCACATCATCATTTGCTTTATGGACAGGCTTACAACTATCTTTCTCTTCTGGAGGGTCCCTCATGTTATCCTGAGACAGTTTGGCATTCCAAATTTTTACTGGTTTAGGTCGTTCCTCTATACACTGGTGGCCCACTTTCCTGCACTTCACAAAGTATATCAGTTTCCATTTGTATTCAACCTTCTGAGTGATTTTCTTGCCTTCGTTGTACTTAATAAAAATGCTTTCCCTTAACTTGGTAGTTATATCAACTTCCAGAAGCAGCCTAGCATATGTCACTCTTAGTTTGTTAGAAGTGCATTCATCTAAGCATATTGGCTTACTTAGAACACTGCCAATCTTCCTTAAACTCTTTTCACCCCAGAGATGAAGAGGTAAGTTAGGCAGGGACACCCAGACTGGTACTGTTCTAAGCATGTCTCTATTGAAATTGAAACTTTGATTCCATTCTTTCAAAATTATAGGAACTCCATGAATAGAGTAAGGCCCTTTCAAGACCACTTGTGTAACACCCCATTTTAATTGATATTATTTATATTATTATTTTCTAAAAATGACCGGTTGATATTTATTTTGAATAAAATAATAATAATTTAGTCGGTAATTCGGTCCGGTATGTGATTAATTGGGTTTATTTGTTTTACCGAAAAATAACTATTTTTGTACGATAATATTATATTTAGTGTGTAAATATTTTATTATATGTATTATTTGATTTATTTGTGAGAATGGATTTATATTAGTATTAATTGATTTATTATAAACTAATAAATTAATGTTATTTAATTATATTAAATTAATTTAATAAAATATTAGTTTTATTATATATAAGTTATGTTAACTTAGAGTAATAATGTATATAAGTTTATATGTTATGTAGGTTAGTTTTATATAATATAATGAGTAAGTAATATAATAAAATAAGTTAGTTTTTTTTATATATTATATAATAAGTAGTTAGATAGAAAGGAAAATATATCAGAAAGTGAAAAAGTGAGAAAGAGAGAAGTAGAGAAGAAGAATGAAGAAAAAGAGGAAAACTAGGGTTGAAGAGGAGAGGAAGAAATTTCTGGAAAATCAACCGAAAAAGCTCGTTTCGGGAACTAATCGGTAAGAGTTAGACTTCCTCTAAATATCTAGTGTATTATTTTTTTTGCATTTGATTTCGATTTTTCGATTTAAGAAATTAGATTTTTTTTACTATTAGAAAGAAAGAAAAACAAGTTCTCTGTTATACAAAAATGGAGAAGAAGGGGGAACATGCGGGGTGGGGGCACTTGGAAGCACTTGGGGGGTTATGTAACATATAATTATAATAGTATATAACAGTATAAGAGTATGTAATAACAGTATGTATATATAATTATAAATAGTAATATATATTATATATATATTTATAAATAGTTTATAATATATATTATATATTTATATATATCATAATTAATAGTATGCTTAATTATATAATC